TAATAAGCCAGTACTTCTGTATAAACGGCAAAAATAAACCTAAAATTGTAATTTTTTAACCGGCGTTAATCGACGGTGTAAGGACAAAATATTCATTATTATTATTCAGCGAAAATTGTTGTATATTTTTAGCGGACTTGTTTCGCATCGAAAATTATACGAAGGAACAAGTTGTGCTCATGTCAACGGTATGATTTATGTGATGATTTTGTCATTTGTTTTTAAGAGCTTTCTGTAAAATTGGGGCACATACCTGCAACTGTATGAAGAAATATATTTTTAACTTTTTTTTTAACTTCCCGTAGGGCAAGTTATAGTAATCGCAAAAAATCGAAAATGAAATTTTTTATATATCTTTACGTTCAAAGGTTCTGAACATTTGGTATACCTTAGAAAAATGGATGTATGTGTGTGTGTGTGTGTGTTGTATGTGTGGGTGTAATGTATGTGTGTGTGTATGTATGTACGTGTGTGTATGTATGTGCGGATACAAATTTTCGTCGACGATTTCGGGAACACGGATCACCCGATTTGAATAATTCAAAAAACATTCGATTCGTATTGATAAGGAGACGTGCTGATTAGTTTTGGCGAGGTAGGTCTAGCCGTTCCGAAGATACGGGCAAAAGTGCCGAAAACGGTAACTCAGTTTTTAAGAGAAACGGATCGCCCGATTTAAATAATTCAAAAACATTTCACTTGTATTGACAAGATGAAGAATCTATAAAATTCATAAAGGTAGGTCTAGCGGTTTCGGAGATATGGAGGAAAAAGTAAAAAAATTAGCCTTTGGCGGTCAAAAATGATCATTAGACATATGCACATCAATTATCAGATATTTTATAGAGATTTTAACAATAAGTATACATTTTGTTAACATTCCTATGGGTTCCGTACCAATGCTTATGCGTTAGACAGCGACGCGGCGCTTACGCGCTTTATATTTTGTCCCTATGCAGTTAAATCAGTACGATTGCTTTGAAAAAAAGTTCAGATCTTCCACAATATGTCAAAATAAAGAAAAAAATTTTTTTTCAAAAAAAAAAAAATTTAAAAAAAATTTTTTTTTTTCAAGAAAAAAAATTTAAAAAAAATTTTTTTTTTTCAAAAAAAGTAATTTTTTGTCCATATATAGTTTCTCAAAAATCTTATTTTTTCAAAGTACATCTTTTTCAAAAATGTTAATCGTTTTTAAAAAATTAATAATTTTTGGTACGGGAAATTCCAGCAATTTGCCTTAAGGCACGATGCCTTAATTGCCTTAAGGCAGAATTCCACTTACAGCTAGTTACATTAAGAGTTATCATCATCTACCACTAACTTAGTCATTCTGACTCCAAATATAGAAATGGAATTAATAGACAGATAGACAAGCAGACAGGTGATTTGATATAAAATTAGAATAATGACAAATCCAGTGTAGAATGATAGACGGTATACAGATAGATGGGTAGGCAGGTAAACATGTCGACAGGTAGACTGATAAACATGTGGCAGACAGACAACTAAACCGGATGCCAGTTAAACAATTAGATTGGCCAATAGGTAGAAAAGTAGAACATGTAGGCTGATAGACAGATAAACTGGTATACGGGAATAGGCAGGGCAAGTAGTTAGGTAACTAGTAGACAGGTAGAGAAGTATATCATAGATAAATCAAACAGTTTATTTTGATCAAATCGATTATTTACACTTATCGGGAAGTTCTCAGAACTTGCCTCAATGCAAAGTAGTACATCAACCTGTTTTTGTTTTTATATTCGAAATCTAAATGAGATTGACCTAAGGGATCGTTCAAGTATTACGTAAGCAGATTTATTACAAATTTTACCCCCTCCTCTCCCCATTGTCAGCAAAAGTAAGCAAATTTCTTACCAAAAATAAGCAAAATAAGCAATCAATAACCCCCCGCCCCCCTATAGCGCTTACGTAATAATTGAACGGTACCTAATCGTTCAAATGTAGATTTCTTATGCAAAAAAAATATCATAAAAAAATGAAAAAATTTCAGTTTTTTGCTTAGACATATTTAATATTAACTAAAAGATTGAATTTCTTCTATGAAAATATTTTATTTTACTTCCTTTTATAATTTTGTTTATAGATTCTGCTCGGAGTATAATGTAGAAGATATTATAGGTTAAAATTAGAAAAATAAAAATTAATGATTAAAATGAAAAGAAAGTTCAAAATTTTACGTTTCTGGTAATATACATTTTTACCTAAGAATGAAACTAGTGGTTCATGTATCCCATTCCCTTTAACCAGCATTTCTTAAAGTAATACAATGTCTTGACAAAAGTAGTTTATTTCCAAGGTGTAAATTTGCTAATCGATTCGGAGGAAATTGCCGCTTATCGTTTGCCTAATTAATGACTTGACCGAAGAACTGACTGACTGGCTGACTGGTAAGTGGCAAATAAATGAAAGATTTTGCCTTAACTCTCGCCTCCATTCATTGATCACATTTCACGTCGGAAAAAGCTACAAGTTTTTATTTTCTTGAGGGCTCAAGTTTTTAACTAGAAGATATAAGCGCTCATGCAAAGCTCTAGGAATTTATAAGACCCATCATAATTTTTAATTTTTGATGAGTCACCTATTCAATAATGCAATTGTATTGTCTATTTGTAGCATTGGTTGATATATTTATTATTTATTATATAGATTATTTGTAGGGATGATTGAATTTGAGGAAATTGGCACTGGTAAGAAGCTCAAGTTTTTGTCTAGATGATATGAGCTTTCATGCAAAGCTTCTCATTTTTTTAAATTTTGATAAGTCACTTATTCAATAATCCAATTGAATCGTTTATTTGTAGAATTGATTATTATCGGATATTGCGGAGGGCTTAGAGGAAAGTGAGTAGAAAGGTAAATTATCTCCTATTTATGTAAAATTTTTGTTGTACATACAATTAGCTTTAACATAATTCTAGTTATTATTATTTGTTTGTTATATTTAATGCTCAAAAGTGTTTTTT